CTGGATCTGCTCAAGACCAGGGTAGATCACTGGCCAAGAGGAAGTGACCTGGAGCAGAGGAGAGAAAAAACAACCACGAGAGAGCTACAGTTTTGATTTTTGCGGAAGAATGATGAAGAGAAATAACACAATTGATATCGGCTCTGAAAATCAGCCCTGAGTCACCCCTCAGGACCTGGTGAGGCCCAATGAACTCCTCTGCGCTCTCTGGTTCCTTTGACTGGGCTTCTCTAGGAATCCATGTCTGAGGTTGCTGTAGGCAAAAGAGGATGTTTTCTAATCAGGTAGCAGGACTGGATGGACTAGTTAAACTAGAGGGATAACAGTGGTTTCCAAGATTCAGTTCCCTAACCATCTTCAAAGTTAACCTGCATAATGGGTGGGGTGAGGACAGGATATGAAAGAGACAGAGACAGGCGCTCAGGGGGAAAGAGGGTAGGATGAGAAAAGGAAGGAAGTAGAGAGTGAAAGAGGGAGGAAAACAGGCTAAATGGATGGATGGGAGGCAAGGAGATTAGATAGATGATGGAGAGATAGATAGATAGGTAGATAGATAATAGATAAAGACAAAAAGAAAGAAAATAGAAAAGAGACGGAAGGAAAAGAAGGAAGGAAGGGAAAGGAAGAAAAAAGGAAATAAAGGAAGAAAACAGAGTGAGCCATCATTTATTTACTGGCTCTGGGATAATCCATTTATGCGGGTCGTCTGTAGTACTTTTATCTTTTACCACAGTTCAGTATGGTAGGTAGGTAATGTATCTTTGTTTAAAAGACGAGGCTGAGATGAGGCTTCAAATGCAAGTCTGCCTGATGGTTTTCACTCTGGTAAAAGCATCGGCTTGCAAATCTCTTCTAGAGAGCCTCTCAGGTCTCCATATCTCAACTTTGCTTTTCTGTTCACCTTTGTGTTTCCAGAGAGCCCTCTTCATACTTCTATAGTGGCACTTCCTTTGGTACTGGAACTGATGTGTCACCTTCCCTGCTGGAATGTTAAGTTCCTCGAGGCAAGAGCTCTCTCAGCTTTCCCAGTGTTTGCTGGGAATAATAACTGGACAGAATCAGTTTCAGCCTTCTTCACTGTATTCATTTATTCACTTATTTATTTTTATTAAAATATAATTCACATGTAATGTGTAGATCTACGGTGAACACATGTGGATTTGATACATCTATATATTGCAATGTGAGTATCATTGTCACATTAGCTAACAGCTCTATCATGTTACGTAATTATTATCACTGTTCTGTGCTGAGAACAATTCAGATCTACTCTCTTAGCAACTTTGAAGTCTGTATTACAGTATTGTTGTCTATAATCACTATGCTGTGCATTAGATCTCCAGGACTTACTTATCTACAAGTTGCAAATGTGTACCCTTAACAACATTTCCTCAAACCCCCAGCCCCCAGCCCCTGGTAATCAACATTCTACTGTGTTTTTATGAGTTCAACTTTTTTTAAGTTCCACATATTAGTGCTGTGACATGATACAGTATTTGTATTCATTAATTTATCTAATTTCAGCATAATGCTCTAAAATCCATCCATGTTTTCGCAAATGGCACAATTTTTTTTTTCATGGCTGAACTCTCCTGTGTGTGTGTGTGTGTGTCACATTTTCTTTATTCATCTGCTGATGGACACTTCGGTTGTTTCTGTGTGTTGGTTATTGTTAGTAATGCTGCTGTGAATATGGAAATATATTCATAAAGGTAGCTCTTTAAGGCAGTGATTTCATCTCCTTCTTTGTTATCGATCATCTCAGTAGGTGCAGAAAAAGCATTTGACAAAAAAACAACATCCTTTGATGATAAAACCCTTAATAAATTTGGTACTTCAATAGAGTAAGTCATAAATGACAAATTGACAGTTGACACATGCACTGGTGAAAGATAGAAAGCTTTCAATTACATACAACACCTCCACCCTTTTACTTGCCTCTACATTTTTCATGTCACAATTTACCTCTTTTTATATTGTGTACTTATTAACAGATTATAATAGTTAGTTATTTTTAGTACTCTTTTCCTTTAACCTTTATTCCATAAAGTGTCTAACACACCATCCTATTTACAGAACTAGAGTTTTCTAAGACTGTATATTTTTCTTTACCAGCATATTGTGTACTTTCATATTTTTTCATGTCACTTATTAACATCTTTTAATTTCAGCTTGAAGAACTCCTTTCAGCATTTTTTTGCAAGGCAGGTCTAGTGGCAATGAACTCTCTCAGCTTTTGTTTCTCTGGAAAAGTATTTGTCCTTCACATCTGGATAATTTTCCAGCTAGAGTGTTCTTGGCTAGCAGTTGTTTTCTTTCAGTACTTTGAATATGTCATTTCACTCTCCTGGCCTGTAGGGTTTTTGCTGAGAAATTTTACTGGTAGCCTAATGGGGGTTTCTTTGAAGATTACAACATTTTCTCAGCTGCTCTTAGGATTCTCTTTCTTTCTTCCTTTCTTTCTTTCTTTCTTTCTTTCTTTCTTTCTTTCTTTCTTTCTTTCTTTTTTAATTTTTGATAGTTTCATTATAATGTGTCTTGGAGATGGTCTTTTTGCATTGAGATAAAAGGGTGCTCTATTAGCTTCATGAGCTTAGATGTTAAATCCTTCCCTAGGTTTGGGAAGTTGTCAGCTATTCTTCAAATAAACTTTCTGAACCCTTCTTTCTCTTTTCTACTTTTGGAACACTGATTATGATAATATTTGTATGTTTGATTGAACCGCATAGATCACATAAGCATTCTTCACTTTTCCATTTGTTTTTCTCTGTTCACTTCTAATTAGGCTATTTCAAGATTCTTATCATCTAGATTGCATATTCTGTCTTCCATTTGATTTACCCTGCTGCAAATTTCCTGTGTTGAATTTTTTTCATTCATTGAATTTTTCAGTTCCAGAATTATCGTTTCATTCTTACAGTTTCTATCTTTTTGCTAAACTTCTCACTTTGTTCATGTATTTTTTCTTGATTTTGTTGAATCGTCTTTTGTATTTTTCTTTCATTATTTCCTCAAAATAGCTATTTTGAATTTTTTATCTTCTAGATTATAAGATTCTGTGCCTTTGAGCTCAGTTATTTGAAGGATTTTTATCTTTTGGTGATGAGCTGTGTTTTTCTTTGTTTTTGTTTTTGTTTTTGTTTTTATTCTTCATGTTCCTTAGATTTACATTGCTGATTTTGCCTTTGATGTAGTGGATACCTCCTTAAATCTTTACTAGTTGTCCTCACATGGGGCATACTGTTTGCTAATCCTGTTACACCTGGAGCACTCTCTAATTTTGTATTTACACATCTGCTCTGCACTTTTTGCTTCTTCTTGTAGGAGGATTCTTAAGCTTTTATGTCATTTTTTATTTAATTATTTTTTTTTCCAAGAAAGAAACTGATTTATTGTTCCATTTATTTATGCAGTCATTGTTTGACTCCCACATGGTTTTTACAACTCACCTGGCTGGTTGCTGAAAATGTCTCTTTTGTTTTCCAGAAGGTGGTGCTATAGATCAAGTTTCTGGTTTCTCTCTTGTCCACAGATCCTGTTCTGTTTTTCTGATAACACCCTATTTACTAAATTTACTTGCTGCCTATTTTTGGAGAGTGTGCAAGGAGCCCCACCACAAAGCGGGGCAGATGTGGGTTTAGCATTTGGGGTATTGGGGATACCTGCCAGCTGGTGGAGAGATTCCTCCCTGAGGTCTCCCAGAGGCTCCTGGGTGAACTTCCTGCTGAACTCCTGAGTGTAGTCAGCAGTAACCCTGTTACTTTAATGCCCTTTGATATTTTTACCTGCCTTTCCCAATCTCCTTCCTACCTCCAGTCATGGAGATCCTTCTTCAATACTCTGGTATTACTGGTAAGAAATAGGTTCGTCCTGCAGCATCCAGCACAGCTGGGGTAGCTAGGCATTCACACACTGCTCTTCTCTTCCCTCTCTGGAGATTTCTCCATGGGACCATCAGTCCTGTGCTTTGCCACTTGAGGGGAGGTTTCTCTTCTCTTTTTCACTAAACCCCAACTCATTTTGTTTCTTTGCTCCAATGGTGTGCTAGAATTTCCTCTCTGGAAAGACAGATTTACAAATTCTCTCTGTCTCTGGGTATTTGTCCAAGTCAGCATTCTCCATGTTTTCCCTAACTACTCTGGGTGGTTGGGGCAGGTTTGCTGGCTCTGCTAGTTTTGCAGCCCAAACTGAGGTCTATTTGCCTATTACTAGAGGTACAGGTAGGTAAGACTCCTCCTCTTGGCACATGTCGTTGTAATACACAGCTCTACAGAGAAACTTCTATTTGTGGATAGATACCTAATCAGTTGTTGAAAAGTGAAGGGGGAGAAAAAGAAGAGAGATGGCTTATGTGCCATGATGCTGATGTTGCTGCCCTTTCACTGCATTTACAACGCTTATTGACTGTTCTTGTACTGACTATTTGTGTTTTCTACTTCTTTCTCTACTCTTCTATTTGTACCTATAATTTCTATTTATTTATTCATACCCCTGTCATTTTTGTGGGGTTTCAGAAAGAAGAGGGGTCATAAACATGTATGTTCAATATGCTGTGTTTAGATTGATAGAGTCTTTTAGGGTACAATTTAGAATGCACAAAAGTTCAAAATGCCTATGCCCTTTGATGCAATTGTTTCTAGATAACTAACCTGTAGAAATAATTCCACTTGTGCATAAAGAGATGTATACAAGGACATTAACTCTAGCATTGATCATAATAGTGAGGAATTTGGAAATAATTTATATGCTGTTACTAAGGATATAGTTAAATAAACTTTGGTAGGCCTATATTATAGAACACTATGCAGCAGGCAAAAACAATGCTGTTGACCTATCTCGAAATCTCTCTAAGAAATATTCTTAAATTTAAAAAGCAAATGTATATCATATATAATCCCACTTATAGTCTTTTTAAAAAACCACAAAACAATATATATTTTAATTCATACTTACCAGTACATGTAGATTATGGAAAATTAAATTGCTGGTGTTAATTTTAGGTCCTGTCAAATTGACTGTGCCCTGTGACTCAAAACCAGGTATGTCTGATGTTCTCACACTTACCTAGAAAGGGAAACCTATTTACCCAGAGGCTCCCATTTTGTTGAGTATGTCATACAGTGATTGTCACTGGGCACACCAAGTGTATTGCTTATCTATAGAATGATTACTTTCTTCTCTTACCAAGGAAGAGCTCAAATACCTCTTCTGCAAATTAACCTGATGAGGTCATTCCAAAATGCCTACACTGGCTTTCAATATGTGATTGTAGAAATTATCTGTTGCTGCATTGCAGATTACCTCAAAAGTTAGTAACTTAAAGTAACAACATACATTTATGATCTCTCAGTGTCTGCGGGTCAGAGATCTGGGCTCGGCTTAGCTGGGTTCTCCAACTCACAGTCTCCCGCGAGGTGGCTGCGAGGCCAGGGCTGTGGTCACTTCAAGGCTGCGCCAGGGGGATTCACTTCCACGTTCACTGACATGGCAGTTGACATGATTCAGTTCTTTGCAGACTGTTGGCCAGAGGTCACGCTTAGTTTCTTTCTAGATGGGCCTCTCAACAGGGCAGCTCCCAACATGGCAGCTGGCTTCATCAGAGTGAGCAAGTGAGAAAACCCAAAGAGCATGAGCATGTTGGAAGTTAGTCATATGTCACCAAAACTTGATGTTTGCCATATTCTGTTTGTTAGAAGTAAGTCACTGAGTCTAGCCCAGCCCACTAGGTCCAGTCACCCTCAAAGGGAGGTGCTTACAACTAAAAGTGTGAATAATAAGGTGGGGGGGGGCGCGCGTCTTAGAAGCTGGCTGCGCTTGTTGGCAAGGCCTGGGATGGTATATTTAGAGTAAAGGAAACCATTTTTCCTTGGCTTTAATTATAAGTTTCTTGTCCAAAAAGAAGAAAGAGGAGGAGAGAAAGAGAAGCAAAAGAGGAGGAAGCAGCAGCAGCTGCCTACAAATGTGACTAATAGGTTATTCACGGGGCTGTGGGAGCAAATTCAGAAGCAAAGATTTTTCTAGTATAAGATAAAATAAGTTTAGATTGATACTCTCAATAAGCTGACATCTAAACACAGTTGTTGATATAGGTGCTAAATATTTTTATTTCTTTTAACTTTAAATTTTGAAATAATTTCAAATTTCAAGTTGCAAGAATAGTAAAAGAACCTCACACATTCTTTACCCAAATCCACCTGTTGGACAGTTGTATCTTGAATACATTATGATATTTGTCACTATAAGAGCTTTGGGGTCTGGTGAGAAGTGTATGAGGTAGGCTGGATTGTCATCTCTCAAATGCTCTCTTCTTTCTCCTCCTCCAGAAAACCCTGAGCGAGCAGCTCTGTACTTCGTCTCCGGCGTGTGCATCGGGCTGGTCCTCACCTTGGCTGCCCTGGTGATGAGGATCTCTTGCCACACGGACTGCCAGCAGCGTCCCCGGAAGAAGTTCCTGCAGGACCAAGAGAGCAGCAGCGACAGCAGCGACAGCGAGGATGGCAGCTCAGACACGGCGTCTGACATCTCCGTCCGGAGACACCGCCGCTTTGAGAAGACTTTGAACAAGAACGTCTTCACGTCAGCGGAGGAGCTGGAGCGCGCGCAGCGGCTGGAGGAGCGGGAGCGCATCCTCCGGGAGATCTGGCTGAACGGCCAGCCCGAGGTGCCCGGGACCAGGAGCCTGAACCGCTACTACTAGGGGCAGGAGCCGGATTCCGCACCGCGGGAAGCTGCCCGGAGGGAGAAGGGCTGCGGGGAGGGTGGCCTGGAGAGCTGAACGCAATTCTGGTGAGGTTACTGCGGAAGCCAGAGATAAGCAGTACACCTCGTTTTCTAGCCAGGAGGACTGATTTCTCCTTTTTGCCTACATTTATGGAGAAGGAGGAAAATCAAGTTGGTTCATTAACCTTTCCAGGTCTTGGAATGGTGCTGAAGAACTCTCTCCAACAATGTGGATGGAGATTAGAGAAACAGGATTGTGGTTTCTCTTGATTTCTGAGGATCTCAGAAGTTTCTGCAAACTTCATAGCTATATGTTATTCCTTTATAAAAGGAAAGATGATCATAGCGTGAGGGCTAGGAACAGCAGGGTGAACCTAACCCAGTAAACCCAATTTTCTAAATGGCTTTGTGCTATGGAGGCGATTCTGATCCAGATAGCATGAACCATGCTTATTATTTAAGGCTGATTTTCTATATCATGTGTTGCAAGGACAACCTCGTCCATTTTAACTGGCACCTCAGGGATTAAAATCCTATTTTTTAGTATAGTGCCCACTTCATTGATGAAAATGAATAGAATTAATGTATTTTGCAAGATGTGTCAGTGAACTAGACAATGCCAATAACCTCAAAGGATGAAGGGTTTTATTTTAAATAGTTTATTAAAAATATATATTAACGTGGATATTTGAAAATGCTGCATAAGAATAAAAGCTGTGTGTCCCGTTCCCCCCAACCCCCGCCCTTTTGGAGAGAAGAAAATACTGTTATGACTCTAGATAATCATGATTTTAAACATTTTGTTAAAAAAGTTTGGATTTCCAAGAAAAAAATTGGAATGGGACATGAGGAATAAAGTCAAAATTAGGATGGGGTAAAAAAATAAATGTTACATAAAATCTTTTCTTGTTTCATGTCTGTCTCTGTGGTTATATTAAGTGGCAGCCCATTTATACAGGTGGGTTTGGTCTTTTACCAGTTCCCCCAAATAACTGGAGAATTGGTAAAAATGGAGAAATAGCCCGTGTGTGATTAAGGGCTTTTCACTTTCTGTGTGTTGTATGTTATAGTTACAATATAGTTGAGTAATTGTTAAGCAGATGGAAAACTAGATTTACCTGAGGCCGGAAATAAGATGGTAGCCCCATGTGGAGAGAAGTTGGTAGCGAAGGAAGAGAGGCAGGGCTCTGCCACATTCAGAAACAGATAACAGAAGAGGAAGCAGCCTCCTCCAGCCTGAGAGAAACAGTAAATTCTATTGGTCTGTCCACTCCCTCCTCTTAACATGCAGTGGGTTCCACAGCCTGTCTGGGTGCTTCGGAGCCTTTGACTGGGAGCATCTGCCGTGTGCATTGGCTCTATCACCGTGCCTGAGAGGATGGTCAGGGGGCTTCCTCCACGGGAGTCTCTACCGCTTTAGCAACTGCTCTCTGAGATGGGGGCTTGGAGGGCTGTCTTAAGAAGTGAACAATCACAGATCTCTAGTTGCCAAGGGGGCAATACATCTTGAAACCCTCGATGGCTGGCCCAATTGTATCATTTTGGGTGGCCTCATGGGCTAGTAACAATTGCCAAAAATCCCCTGGCCTTTAGAAGAACATTACCAATTTTGATCTCTGGCTCGCAGGAAAATGAAACAATAGAGAACGGCGTCCATCCCCGGGGTGCATCTAAAGCTGGCAATGGGGAGGGATATGACCCTTGTAAGGCAGGGGCTACGGGGGCTGCAGTGGTGGAGGTGTTTGTGGAGGCTCTGGGGCATCGAGCTTTCCTAGCTCTCCAATATCCTGATGCCTTTCCACCAAGTTCATCAAAGTTTCCATTTTTAGGGTAGTGGGGGCTTTGGGTGAGGGAAAATACACTAACAGTTCAACCCATTGCTTTTCATCTTTACACCAGTGATTCCAACTTTTCAGCCAAAGGGAAGCCTCACTGTTATCTTCCCTACCTGGGCTCAAGCAGTTTCACAGTTTAGGTCTGTCACTCACTCCTGGTTCCAGTTTCTGTATCAGAACACTTCGATTTGACACAGAAACATACCCAACTTAAAAGCATTTTTAGATAACTGGGAAGGGCAGCACTGAATCTGGCTTCTGGGATAACTGGGTCCAAAGGCTCAAATGCTATCAAAAGCTAGTCTTTCTCATTTCTCATTGCTTCTCTCTGTTGCTCATTTTCCTCTACTTCAGATGAAATAGTAACACACATGTACCAATATACTATGGTGGATTGCTTGCTCCTGATCAAACTCCCACACAACACACAGGTTCTGTGTGTGTGTGTGTGTGTGTGTGTGTGTGTGTGTGTGTGTGTGTGTGTATTTGGCACAAATTCACAGCTTACCTACCTCAGAAGACAGCATGGAAGGGATGTTTTGGTGCAGCTTCCATGGTTCCACAGAGAAGCACTACCTGACAGTAACACATCTGAGACGATGTTAGGAAGTGTAGATACCTCAGAAAACACCCACCAACTTCCCTTAAGAGCATCTTCCTGCGCTGAAGCTTTTTAGTCTGATGTAGTCAGTCCGTCTTGTTTCTTTTTGCTTTTGTTGCTTATGCTTTTGGTGTCACATCCAAAACATCATTGCCAAGCTCCATGTCATGGAGCTTTTTTCCTACTTTTTCTTTTCCTAAAAGTTTTGCTATTTCAGGTCTTCCATTTATGTCTTTAATTCATTTTGAGTTGATTTTTGTGAGTTGTGTAAGATAAGCATTCAATTTCATTCTTTTGCATGTGAATAGCCAATTTGGCCAACATCATTAATTGAAGATACTGTCCTCTCTCTGTTGAGGAGTATTCTTGACTCCCTTGTCAAAGGTTACTTACCCAAAAGTGCATGGTTATTTGTAGGCTCTTGATTTTGTTCCACTAGCCTATTTTATGCCAGTACCATAGCATTTTGATTACTATAGTGCTGTAATATAATGTGAACCCCTCTTAGGTGTGATGCCTCCAGTTTTGATCTTCTTGCTCTAACTTACTTTGGCTCTTTTGGGTACTTTGTGGTTCAACATGAATTTTAGGAATTTTTTTTCTATTTTTGTGAAAAATGCCATTGAAATTATCACAGAGATTGCATTAAATTTATAGATGGTTTTGGGTAGCATGGGTATTTTTAACAATATTAATTTTTTCAACCAATGAACACAGGCTCTTTTTTATTTATTTGTGTTTTCTTCAGTTTCTTTAATCAAAGTCTAACAGTTTTCCATGTACAGATTTTTTTTTTTTTACTTTGTTGGGTAAATTTAGTCCTAAATATTTTATCACTTTTGATATAAAGTGCTAATATAAATGGGATAAATTTCTTTTTCAAATAGTTGTTAGTGTATAGAAATAATGTGGATGTTTGTATTTTGATTTTATAGCCTACCACTTTACTGAATTAATTAGTTCTGAGAGATTTTTGGTGAAGCCCTCAGGGTTTTCTATATATAAGATCATGTCATTTTTTCCATTTCTTTTTGGGTACCTTTTATTCTTTTGTCTAATTTCTCTGGCTAGGATAATACTATGTTGAATACGAGTGGTAAAATTAGGCATCCTTGTCTTGTTCCTGATCTTAGAGAAAAAGTTTTCAACCTTTCAACATTGAGTATGATATCAGCTGTGGACTTGTCATATATAGCCTCTATTATGTCTTTGTTGAGAGTTTTAATCATAAAAGGCTACTTTTTAAGTTTTTAATGTTTTTGGAGTTACATTATGTTCATCAAGAATATTCATCCATCCATCTGCAATGATTCATATCAGATTTATAGTTGTTATGTTCCTTGCCTTTTCTCTCTTCATGCTAAGTATTTTCTAATTTATTTACATGTTTCTCATGGTACTTCTTCCTTTTTATCCTAATATTTATCTACATGTAAACATTTCTTATATTCACTTTGTTGAAGTAAAATGTGTCAGGCAGTGCTTCCTGCCTTTTGTCATAGCTTTCCCAAAAGCTCCAGTAGTATTCCGTCAGAGTGACAGTTCTGATAAAGCCAGCTAAACTTGCTCTTCCAATCAGCTTTGAGCAGAGAAACATTGGCCTCATTTTTTATCTTTCCTCATCTCAACCTATTTTTTAGATTGCACAGGTTGAAAAATAGACTCCTCTTCTAAATAGGGGTCACAAAAGGGGTCAAAAAGTGTCAGTCTTCTATTGTATGCCCACCCAAATCAGTCTTTATAGATTAAGATACTTCATTCCTTTGCCCTAAATATTGGATTTAGCATTTAAAAAAATTTAGTATCTGTAGTGTCAGCCTGCAAGGTGATGATCTCTTGAAATCTTCTTGAATATCTGCATCATGACTTTATCAGTAATTATGATTTAAAAATTCATGATTTTTTAAAAGTTTTAAATTAACAAAGTAACAAGACTCAGAGAATGGAAACAAGGCCTACTTCAGTGTGCTGTTCTATAGAGCCTCAAAGCATTAATTGTGACAAAGATGATTTTAAGTTTATGAAAGTCTGCTTTATCTGCTTTTATGTATTGTTTTCTTTACTGTTAATCATTTCCTCACCTCTCTCAATTTTAGAGTCTCCCATCTTTTTCTACGTTAATTCACATGTGACCACATGGTATGGCTATCGGTGTACTTTTTCAAGCTCAATTCAGCATTGAGAGTCTTACATAGTTCTTACATGTTTATCAGGAATGGATGTTCCTTCTTGAAATTACAATGGCTGTTCTTAACATCATTGCTGATCAACTTTCTAGTCCCTCAGGCTTGAAGAAGTAAAGGGAAAGTTTTAAAGCTTAATCACTTGGAAGTGCGCCTTTTGTGCCTCCAAAATAGTCACATCATATATCCTTTATTATTACTACCTTCAAGATCATCTTAGTTTCACTTGATCTGAGGCACTTCACCCTCAGAGGCATTTAAAATCTCCTTTTCTATTGGAAAAACCATCATTGAGTCACTGTGAGAGGACACTGCCAGATGAAAGGCTCTTTTCCTGGCCATCTAGTCCTTTTGGTTTTCTGCTCTTTCAGCAGTAGAAAGAGATCTTGGCCTAACAGTGGCAAGAATAAAATTAAAAATGACCTGTACTTCCAATTCCCATTTGAAAATCACAAGGCTCTAAGAAGAAAGATTTCTGTGGGCCCAAAGCCAGGCCCCATATTTGGGAGTCCACTCAGACTTAGAATTGTGCAACCAGCTCTGCATAGTCAAAAAGATGTGGAGAAGAACTAAAAAATCTTCCTTTGTACTTTCGATAATTGGCATTTTTTATTCATAGTCTCTGGTCTTTTCATGGAGAATATCTGATGCCTTTTACTGTTGTTATGATACCAGGTCTTATATATGCCTTTGAAATGGGAAAACTGTTCCTATTCCTTGCAATATCTGTGTATTTGCGAATGAATTCCTTGAATGAAAAGGAAATGCATTTCTGAATTAGGAACTTTTGATAGAAAGGAGAGCTACATGAACAGAAGTATATTTTCTTTTTATGATGTTATTGTTACTTTGCAGAATTAGACTTTTGCTTATTCAGGACTGAAGAGGCTGTTCCTGACTTTTTTGATACTTCTTCAAGTGAGTAATGCATCAACATGTATGACAGGCAGCCGCATATCTGTAAATGACAAAAGCAAGTTAAAGTAGAGGAGAGTTAATTGAATGGCATGCGCTTCTAAGAAAGTATTTTATAAGAGACTGGAGAGCAGAATTTGGTAAACTACAGTCCAAGGGCCAGATCCAGTCCACCATCTATTCATATACCACCTGCAAGCTAAGAATGGTTTTTGCATCTTCAAATAATTACATTTTAGATGGCTATACAAGACCTACATAATAGCCTTGATTTTGCCTCTGGGCTTACAAAACCTAAAGTACTGTCTGACCCTTTATGGAAAAAGTTTGCTGATAC